ACAAAGAATGCAGATAACCCATATAATAAGTCGTGACTTTGTATAGGGGTGCAGCTAGAGAGCTTTATTAACCCAAAAACTTATATAACTAGAATTAAAGATAATAATCAAATACAAAAGGACTTACACACAAACCCAGTAATTGGACACTTTCATTGATACACGGTCGTGTCACTATGGCTCATCGTATTTCCACGAAGAGTTAACCAACATTCAGTGCAACAGTATTGTCCTTGTGAACTGTCTTCTTATGGATCTCTCTGACATGTTCATTCCGTCAACCCATTCTAAACGACTCTGTTCCGCGACACTACGAATGTCATCTTATCGTTCACTACCAAACTTTCACGGATGAAATCCCAGTTGTTTCTTTGGTTAAAACATCGTTTTACTTGAGCTTTGCCCTCGAAGCGACTTCTCAAACGTTCTTCAATGCAATCCTTACTTCGTTCCAGGGTTAAAAGATATTCCAATCAGATAAGCATATGATCTTGAATATATTTTAAAATGTAATCCATTTGTTCAAACAAAACATCACTTATTAAATATAATCATATATAATCAATATTGTTCTATGAAAAACAAAGGTAACTTCTCTCGTCAAAATAAAAATCTCAAAACTAGACGCCATCTATTGACCATTTCCGCAAATAAGCAACCTCGGGTCGGAGACCTAGCCACAATACAAACTTTGGCAAACTGATAATAATATATATAATATGTATTTACCAAAAGGGTATCATTTCCTTTAAAAACAAATATTGACTGATAAATATAATACAAAACATCATGTTAATACTTAATTCATAATTATGAAAATTATGGAAGGGATATATAAACACAGAAATTTCATCCAACAATGTTGCAACATAAAATATGCTTCAATTTAATAAAATACGTGAATATTATCACCAAAAATATTCAAGATATCTATATTAATAAAATGGAAATTTCATAAGTGGACATCACTAAAAACTTTCGTTACAACGCATCAATTTCAACCAAATTTTCAACATTTATGTAAAACGAGATGGAGCAGGTTTTGCTTAACATCAAAATATATTTCCTAACATTAACATGCGTAACTTCGCTGTTATCGATTAAATTAAAAAAAATCAACAGAGTTAATTTTATTTATATATAAATACAAAATTAAATTTCAACAGAGTTAATTATTTTACATACTAGCTAATAATCTCAATCTAAAAAATATTCAATACAAGCAATTTTAAGATAATTATCATGTTTCTAATTTCGCCTAACAAATATACAAATTTATAGTGACCAACATATGCAAATTTTATCTTTGTTTTTATTTAACTTGATATCGTAAACATATACATCCATTGTAAGCATTTTTCTGTTCACCTTCCGTGGTTTCTCTTTTCTCTGATAGTTTTTAGGTGTAGTATATTTTCTTATTACTAGACTACAAACATTCCCTCGAGAAAAACCTGGGCGAAGCCGGGTACATCCGCTAGTATTTAATAATTTTTTAAATTGTTAAAAATATCCTAAACACAAATGTGCACACAAATAAAGGCTTCTAAATTAATATATTGTTTATCTTAAATATTATAATATTATATTATATATAATTATATGGAACAATTTAAGAACAAAAAGATTCAGATGAAGATATACTTACAGATTATCAAGTTATTCATTGATTTGAAAAAAAAAACTATTTTAAATTTTCAATTCGATATTGAACCTTGTAAATTTTATATAAATATGTATCTACATATATAAAATATATTGAGATATACGAACTCTATGATATATTGTCTAGCACATGCGATATCAATAATGTAGATAGCTATAATAATAATAATGGATAACAATGGCTTTCCACAACAATGGCTATATCAGAAGACAATTTATTATTAGCGTAGATGGACTTAATTAAATGGCCATGTGGTCTATGCTTTCATTCTTACAGTCACGTGACCGCGATTGGTATTTATGTGGCGAATTATTGTCTTCTGCTATTGTTTTATTGAGGGGTTCGTCTGGTCACATTTATTTATTGTTTGTCGCACTCAAAGGTTAGTATTAAGAATGTAAATATATGGTTTTGTGTGATATAACTCAACTAAAAATAGTTTAATATATTTTACCAAATATCAGTAAATGAATAAAAAATAATAAACAGAATTTATAAGTAAGTTATATAAATCAATTTTAATTGATTATATATATACTATATAATATGATGCACTAGCGCGCCATCTGTTATCAAAATTCGAAACTATTTTAAAGGCGTAAGATTCTTTTTGAAATTAAACAATTTCTACTGCCCTTACTGCAATGGAAAAATTAATGGGAGGGCCTGGCTCATCAGTGGTGAACCCTCCCAGCGGTTTCGCCAGTTTAATCTACCATACCGCCGTTATATTGCATTTTTGAACTTCCTTTTATAGTGATACTGTTGCTAGAATCTTGGAATGGGTATTTTAGAAGAACAATGGACATAAGCTTTGAGGACAGTAGAATTACATACATTTATAATTTTGATATATACTATATAATATATTATTATTATTATTATTATATAAACTATTAAACAGCATACTGACACAAACATGAGCATTTTTAAATGGCAGAACCTCATCTAGTGGAACAAAACTCAATATAACATTGATTCAATTTGTTCCATGATATTTGAGATATTTGCGGAAATTTGAGCCTCAATACCCATTTCGTGATTTATCAGGAAGCCTCTAGGACATAGTTTTATTGGTCGTAGAGGTACTGACTGCACCACGCTGACGAATTCCAACAGCCCCAAATGCGTTCGTGAATGGATATTCTTGATTTATCAAGAAATTGGGTTGGCGAAATATCATGGAACAAGTTACATTAATATTTAATTGATTTTTGTTCCAATAGATATCACTTTGACTTCTAAAATGATCATGTGAATGCTCATATGATTTTTTGTTTTAATATTAACACTTGGCGTCTCTATTTTTATTAATTTATAACGTATAAAATATATTTTTATATGAAAAATAAAAAAAAATAGAACATCATGAAACAAGTTAAATCAACATTTAGTTGAATTTTGTTTTACTAGAAGGCGCTCTTCAATCGAAATTGCTCATGTGAGCTGTCAGGAATTGCCTATTTGTGTTTCAAATATATATTTTATATAGAAGCATAGGGCGCCTCTCCCGCGTATGGATCAATTTCCTCCCGGCAAAAATTTTCCATCTATTTATATTATATATGTATGCATATCTGGTGTTTTATTTACTCGCCCATTGATTGTTTCCCTACTGTCAGCTGACCATAAGCAGCCAATCAGAGGATGGTTAAGTTCACAATCGAATTTTTGAATCTCTGATGTTCCTTTTTTTATTGTTGCATACTAAAATGTTTTATATCCTTTTTGCTATTCTATTTGTATTTTTAAAACCTAATTATTATAAAGTTTATTTTTATAATGAAGATTTTCCCCTGCTTTTACACTCTGACAGAATCAATAAGAAATCTAGGGGTAGGTTTTCTTTTACATTTCTTTTATTTAAAAGCACGAATGTTTCTTTTATACATAATACAAACTTCTACTGTCCTTAGTGCAATGAAATATATATTGGGAGGGCTTGGCTCATCAGTGGTGAATCCTCCCAGCGGTTTCGCCAATTTAATCTACCAGACCGCTTCTCAGAGCTCTAATACTGTATTGGACGATTCTGCTTATATACGCAGCACTGAAGGATGGAATATCAGAAATGGTTTTCAAGAAAACTATGGACATAAGCTTATAGGACAGTAGAATTACATTCAAATAAGGGCAGTAGAAGTTTGTATTATGTATAAAAGAAACATTCGTGCTTTTAAATCCTTTCATTTTATATGTATAGATGGCGCGATATTGCTTTGTGTTAATTCTTTTATTACTTGAGCTTCGGGTTAACATGCTCTTCAACATGGAGATCTAGAAGTTCTACTTCTAGCCAATTATAACATGCCTTTTGGATAGAAGCAGAACATCTAGGTCTCCGTGTTTAAGGGTATGTCAAACCGAAAGCCTGAGAAATAAAGAACTGTAAAAAGAGACCTAGCCTAGATTCGTTATGATGTCAAAAGGTTATATTTATGATTTATATTGATATCAAGCTTCAAGTAATTTTGTATAATAGGAATCTGATAGTTGTAATCATTTTATAATGCTATAAAATATCTTTTAGGTGTTTTTATGATTTTCCGTCGGATATGCTGTGAGTTAATATTACTATGTACAGTAAACTCTCCTATAACGCGATTAATGTGTTCCGTGTTGTATGAAATCGCGTTATAGGAATTCGCGTTGTACGAAATAAAACTTGTATAACGCGAATGTTGTTAGGGTAAATTGTTTTATTTTATAACGCGTTATACGAAAATTCGCGTTTTATAAATAAATTTGTCGCACTTTTTTTATCGCGTTGTACGAAATCGCGTTGTAAAAACTCGCGTTATAGGAGAGTCTACTGTAATTAGTAAGAAATGAAATGCCGTTTAGTTTATATTTGTGGAGATATAAATATTTCTATATTTTTCTATTAAATTCCTAGGAGATTTAAATATATTAATGTAAATTTAAAGCGTTAATTAAATAAATTATTAATGTACTACAAAATGTAGAAACCCTTTTACTCCCATGGGATTCTAAAGTATTTAGGGTTAGCAAATTAAATCTTCAGAAGTTCGGAATTTAATTTTATGATATTTGAATTGCGACCTGATATATATTCTGACTTGAAATATATATACATAACTCAATGAGATATCTAGAGGTATATCAAAACAGAAATATATCGTGATATAAGATTTGTTAGATTATTGTATATTTTTTTCATATTGATAATTGAATATTCTATATACAGTTACGAGCGTCATGGCCTCTGTCACGGTTTGCCGGCGCCCTCCTATTGGTCGGCTACGATCACGCCACCTTTGCCCCCCCCCCCCATCCATCATTTGGTGCCGCCAATGCGCGAGACACTTCTGTCACCGTTTGCTTTTGGTTCAGTGGTAAATGCTCGCCTGCCACGCAGGCGCCCCGGGTTCGATTCCCGGCCGATGGTTTAGGGCGGGACGTTTTACAAGAGTGACATCTACGGCGCCAATTTATAATTGTAACGAATAGTATTTGAATAAAAGCATTTAATCGGGTAAACCCCGGGCGTTGCCCGGGCCATTCGGCTAGTATATATATACGGTAAAACAAAGTAGGCATATTCTGACCACTAACATCGGCGTTATTTAGATGGCAGAGCGCCATATACCTTTTCATATATATATATATAGATGGAAAATATGCCGGGAGGAAATTGATCCATAGAAGTATCAATATTCTAGCCATAGATTTGGCCCAGCCACCTTGCCAGAAAAACACCTCTTTGGTAGATTGTGAAGATTCCATGAGATCCAGTGTGGATCTCATGGAATAAAGTCCGCCTTAGGCTGAAGAGGGCCATTAGCCCAAAACCATGGTCTCTAGGTGGACGCTTCTCAAATTTCTAAAGCTGGTGTTGTGACTTTGTCATGATAATATGTATGCACCAAAGATTTCACCTACCCTTTTAAAAATTTATTTTCCAAGGAAGAGGTGTCGCTATTGTGTGGTGCATGGAAACTATCGTACCGTACAAAATTTCATCACGCTCATAATACATTTTAAGAAATAAAAGTTGAAATTAGTATTATATATATATATATATATAGATGGAAATTTTGCCGGGAGGATATTGATCTAAAAAGACAAAGGTCGCCTCTCCCGTCAAAATAGACGTCAAAACTAGACATATCTATTGACCGTCACCGCAAACTAGCGGTCTCGGGTCGGTGTCAAAGCCACAACACCAGCTTTGGTAAACTGAGAAGCGTCCACCTAGAGACCATGGTTTCGGGCTAATGGCCCTCGTCGGTCTAGGGCTGACTTTATTCCATGAGATCCACACGGGAGAGGCGACCTTTGTCTCTTTAGATCAATATCCTCCCGGCAAAATTTCCATCTATATTATAGCCATAGATTTGGCCCAGCCACTTTGCCAGCTAAACACCTCTTTGGCAGAATGTCAAGATTCCATTAGATCCCGTGTGGATCTCATGGAATAAAGTCCGCCCTAGACCGACGAGGGCCATTAGCCCGAAACCATGGTCTCTAGGTGGATGCTTCTCAGTTTGCCAAAGCTGGTGTTGTGGCTTTGTCACCGACCCGAGACCGCTAGTTTGCGGTGACGGTCAATAGATGGCGTCTAGTTTTGACGTCTATTTTGACGGGAGAGGCGACCTTTGTCCCTTATATATATATATATTACATAAGAGATTATTATGTTTATTTTGGAATTAGAGTTATAGAAATATTACGTGCTGATAGATACATTAGTATATTTGTGATATTGCAGTCGTGGTAAAATAATAAAATCAACTTAAAATCACAATTTTATTTAATTGAGTTGATGAAAAGAATTGAGGAAGAAATACCTGATTTGAGGCGTAAAAAATAAAATTAAATACATATTTACATATCTACAAAATAATTTGAGCCGGCCAACGGGAAACAACAATATAATTATATAGGGAAAGCGGCAACCTCTGGCGGTCGAATTAAATAGAGTAATTTGCTTTAAATATTATAATTTTAAATTAAAATATAATTTTTAAATAATGTTGATTTTAATTATTTAAAATGTTAATTTTCATTCTGTGATTGAATTAATCTGTGATCAAATTTATTCTGTGGTGTTGAGTGTATATAAATATATGTATTTCTTTGAGAGAGGGGTGGGAGAGAATATATGTGGAGACGTTTAGGTGTAAGAGTTATTTAGGTTTATTATAGAAATTTATATTCATAGTTTTTTGTGCCTTCAATAAAGAAGTTTTATGTTTTAATAGAGAGTATTTATTACGATTCTCCCAACAATTGGTAGCAGAGAGCGGTTGATTAAAAATTGATGCAAATCAAGATTGATTGAATAATTTTTAGAAAAAGCAAAGATGCAAAATTTTATTAATATATCTCAAATTGTAAAGTTATCAGACAATAACTACTTGATCTGGGCAAACAGAATAGAAAGCGAATTGAGAGGATTGAAATTATGGAGACGCATCATAGAAGGAAAAGAGATAGAAAAGCCTCAAGAAATCAAAGATGAAAATTTCGAACAAAAGTTGAAAATCTGGGAAGATAGGGATGATGACAATGCTATCGCTAGAAATGTGATGAACAGAACAATGAATGACACTCAAGTGCTAAAATACTCGAGCGAAAGAAGTGCAAAACGATTATGGTATAGCATTAAAGAAGAAATGGCATCTAAAAATGAAGATATGCAAATGAAAAATAAAATAGAATTATCAAAATTGAAAATGAAGGAAGATGAAACAGTTGACGAATACTTGAATAGAGCAATGATTATTAAAAGCAAAAGCATACAAGCAGGAGATGAAATAAGAGATAGAGAATTGATTTGCTTCGTTTTAGAAGGTTTAAGAATAGAATTTGATTTTGACGTAAAAATCATAAAATCTGACAGGCAAAATAATATGAATTCAATAAGACAAATTTTAAAGGAAACTGAAGAAAAAATAAAATATAGGAAACTAGAAAAAGTAGAAAAACAGGAGATTGCATCTAAAGCTAGAGAAGGCCGATCGGGAAGACGAAATTTTGCTATCAAATGCTATAACTGTGGAAAGATAGGTCATAGCTCTAAAGAATGTATAAATAAGATAAAATGTGTCAATTGTGGAGGATTTGGGCATAAATCGGCAATATGTAAAAGGTATAGAAATGAATATCATGCAAAGTATAACTATAATGGGCCTAAATGTAGATATAATGAGGCTAAAACTCGTGTGATGGAAACAATCGAGGCAAATTACGAGGAGGAAGATCAAGGGGAAGAAAAAATAAGATGGACAATGGATTCAGGAGCCTCTAGTCATATGGTCAGTAACAGGAAACTATTTATAGAATATGAAGAGGAAGAAAGAAATATAGCGACAGCTGAAAAGGATGCAACAATAAAATCTTCAGGAATTGGATCTATAAGAATGAAGTCGAATGTAAATGAAAGATTCTTAAAAGTTGAAAATGTTTTACACGTGCCAAATTTAAGAGAAAATCTATTATCAGTTTCAAAAATTTTGAATTATGATTTAAATGTATTATTTAGTAAATATAAAGCTGAAGTAATAGACAAAAATGGTGAGATTTTATATGAAGCAAAAAGATTAGGAGATAAATTTGAAGTTGAAGGAATCCTAAATATGGAAATTGTAGGAAAAGCAGAAGTAAGTGATATTTTATGGCATCAAAGACTTGCTCATGTAAATTTCCAGAAATTAAAAGAAATGTATGATAATTCAACGGTATTCGGATTGAAAAATTTACATAATATCAAAGGGAATTGCGAGTCTTGTACATTAGGAAAAATACATAGAAAATCTTACAAAAGTATTCAATATAAACAATCTGAAAATATTTTGGATCTATGGCATACCGACATAGTTGGACCTTTGAATGATTCTTTTGGATATAAGTATTTCATTACTATTGTTGATGATTATAGTAATTTTACTTTCGTTATACCAATTGCTAACAAATATAAAACCGCAGATTCCATAATAAACTTGATTATACAAGAGGAAAAACAGACTGGAAAGAAAGTAAAGAGGATTCGAAATGATAATGGAGGAGAATATGTTTCAAATTATTTGAGGCGATGGTTATCTAGTAAAGGCATCAAACAAGAATTCACCACTGCTTATACTCCTGAAAGTAATGGAAAAGCCGAAAGATTTAATAGAACCATAGTTGAGTCAGTAAGAACCATGCTAATTAATTCTAAATTACCTATAAAACTTTAGAGTGAAAGTGTTAAAGTGGCTGGTCATATAAATAACAGAATTAAAATCAAAGAAATGAATACAACTCCTTTCGAGATATACAAGGGATGGAAACCAAACATTGTTTACTTAAAAAGGTTCGGAAGCGAAGCTTATGTTCATATAAGAAAAGAAAAGAGAAAGAAGATGGAACAAAAAGCTCATAAAGGGATTATGATGGGCTATAGTATGATAAGAAAAGGTTATAGAATATATTTACCAGAAATGGATGAAATACATTAAGTATCAGATGTTATTTTAATGAATCAAAACTAGGATATTATTTGATGAATAATAGTGGAATAAATCTCGATGAAATTGAACTTTTCTTTTTTAGTAGAGAAGACCAAAATTTGATTTCTCACGGGAATGAAGACTCTGGTGGTGATATTTATAATAGAGAAGACCAGGTATAAAACTTTAACATCGATGATAATGATGTAGATTTGAATGTTATAGAAGAAATACCTCCTGATGAAATAATTACTCCACGTAGAAGAGGACCAGAACCAGGAATGACGAGAGAAATGAGAGAAGAACGAGATCTTCGTTTGAGAGACACCGAGGAAGAAGAACTTATAAAAAGGGGAGTGAGGAGATCTGAAAGATTAAGACTAATGAAGAATAAGGAAAATGTTTCTGATAGAACTTATGAGATTAAATGTCCGAAAGATTACCAAGAAGCACTGAATTCTGATAATAGAGAACAATGGATTAAAGCCATGGAAGATGAGATGCAAAAAAAAAGGATTACTAAATTAAAAGTTTGGAGATTAATAGATAAGCCTAAAGATAAAAAAATAATCAAAAGTAAGTGGATTTTTTCAATTAAGAAAAATAGTGATGGATCAATTAAAAACTTCAAAGCGAGGCTAGTAGCTACAGGATATGATCAAATACTGGGTAGTGATTACCACGAAATTTATTCTCCAACTATAAGACCTGAGACCATAAGAATTCTAATAAAAATAGCTGAAATAAAAAATGTTATTCCTCAACAAAAAGACGTTCAAACAGCTTTTTTATATGGTGATTTAGAGGAGGAAATATTTATGATTCAACCTCCTGGATTTGAAAAGGGAAACAATAAGATTTGTTATCTGATGAAAAGTATTTATGGCCTAAAACAAGCAAGTAGAATGTGGAATAAGAATCTAGATGAATTATTAACCAATGCCGGAATGAAACAA